GCCTTGTTTGGTCTATAAAAAATTAACCTTAAATAAATCCGCGCCTTGTTTGGTCTTTGAAAATTTAATCTTTAATAAATCCACGCCTTGTTTGGTCTTTAAAAAAGTAATCTTTAATAAATCCACGCCTTGTTTGGTCTTTAAAAAATTAATCCTTAATAAATCCACGCCTTGTTTGGTCTTTAAAAAAAAATAATCTTTAATAAATCCACGCCTTGTTTGGTACCTAAAAATTAATCTTGAATAAATCCACGCCTTGTTTGGTCTCTGTAAATGTTTCTTTAACCAATCCAGCAACACATGCATAACCTAATTGGAATCTTATGCGGCGTTATACGCTTTCATTTAGACATGCAACCACTTTGTTGTTGCCATTTGCACAGCTGTCAAATTGATTTGGCAATTGTTTATTTTCTTTAAGAACAGGATAAACTTTTGCTTTAATAAAATTTATTAAAAAATAGAAAATGTTTAATAAAAATAGATTTGAATAAAATGTAATTATTTAAAAAGTGAGAATTTATTTGACAGCTATACATAAAAATTGATTTAATCTTAATATGCCTCTCTCTAGGAATGCGGAATAAGGAAATAATGATGTACGAAGAATATCGATAATAGGTGAAATTTTTATAAATACTGGTGAAATATTTTGAGCCTTGCAATCTATAAAATCTGCGGCAACTGTATCCAGTATATGTAAGCAAAAAGAATACCCTAAAGCTGCAACTTCTCAGCAACAACACATCATTCCAATCACCCTCTACTATGGATTGTTTACTGTGCATGGAAACAAAACCGGAAGATGAGGCCAAATGTATACAAGTAGATTCAATGCAATGGCAGGAATTGAATATAAAATCATTAATTGATAAACATCTGTGGCCCATAGTAAGTAGTTAGATGGTGAGACTACAAAAATATGATAATTTAAAATATCTTATTTTTAGGAATCTCCTCCAGTAAAATCCTGTATTTGCGATGCCTGCTGGGAAGAACTATATGATTTCCATAAATTCTATATGCGGTTGGAACAAATACACAGTGATCATCGACTTATCTTAAAAGCCGAATCAGATCCTCTGCAGCAGGAAGATGCCAAACCGAAGGATGTTTTTTTGAAAAGTCTACTGGAACCCGAGATTGTTATTGGCCAACATTTGGATGAACCAATAGAGATTAAACAAGAAAATGAAGAACCCATTGCTGTTGTAATAAAGGGCGACAACAACATTGACGCTGAGGCGGATGATGAGGGTGGTGTGGACAAGAAAAACCACAACAATTCCGAAAATTCACTTGATATATTCGAAAATGAACAGGATCCAATGGCATATAATGACAATGAGTGTGATGATGATAATAGCAGTGATTCCAATTACAGCAATGATGATGATTATGATGCTCCAGATGATGTTCATACAGATAGTGATGACGATGATTTGCCATTAATACACAAAGTGAAACACCAAATGAACAAAAAATCAACACGAAAAGCCAATAAAGCAACAAAAGAAACAAATAAAGACGAATCGGAAGATTATACAACAGAAATTCCCAAAAAGAAAAGAAGAACGAAATCCACAAAATCTTCAGAGAATAATAGAAAACCCTCTTCCTCGATGAAACGTGAAACAAATCGCAAAACTTCAAACCTGCCCAAAATAAATCGTGTTGAGTATGATAAATTTCTGCAGGAACATTTCAAAATGTCGTGTGATAAATGTCCGAAAACATTTGAACGTTTTCGCCAGTTGTGTCAACATTTTAGCCAGGAACACAATGAACAGGGTTATGTTATGTGTTGTGCAACCAAATTCTTTAATCGTCGTCTTCTTGTCGATCATATAAATTTCCATCTTGATCCGGAGTATTTTAAGTGCAATCTTTGTGGCAAAGTTCTGACGAAACGTATTTGCCTTATCGGTCATATGAAAATGCACGAGGAGAAGAAATTCGCTTGTGATAAATGCGATAAGAAATTTGTACTGAAACATAAACTGGATAAACATAAGCTGACCCATTTACCGGAATCGGAGAAGAAATTTCCGTGCAATGATTGTGGTAAATTGTATGTGTTGAGGTTTTTTGTTGTTTTTTATATAGTTTTGAATGAGGGATTTTATATCGCTTCAGGCGTGGTGTTCTTGCGAGAGTTCTTCACAAAATACCCTTTAAAAATCCAAGCCTCTAGCTGTAATAGTTTTTCACAAAATACCCTTTAAGAACCCACGCATCTAGGTGTAATAGATCTTCAATAGATAACCTTTAAAAATCCAAGCCTCTAGCTGTGATAGTTCTTCAATGGATATCCTTTAAAAATCCAAGCCTCTAGCTGTGATAGTTCTTCAATGGATATCCTTTAAAAATTCACGCATCTAGCTGTGATAGTTCGTCAATAGATACCCTGTAAAAATCTACGCCTCTAGCTGTGATAGTTCTTCAACAGATACCCTTTAAAAATCCACGTCTCTAGTTATGAAAATTCTTCAATAGATACCCTTTAAAAATCAGCGCCTCTAGCTGTGATAGTTCTTCAATAGATACCCTTTAAAAATCCACGCCTCCAGCTGCGATAGTTCTTCAATAGGTACCCTTTAAAAATCCACGCCTCTAGCTGTGATAATTCTTAAATAAAATCTCTTTAAAAATCCATGCCTCTAGCTGTGATAGTTCTTCAATAAAAACCCTTTAAAAATCCACGCTTCTAGCTGTGATAGTTCTTCAATAAATACCTTTTAAAAACCCAGCTTCTAGCTGTGATAGTTCTTCAATCTGGTTGTGATAATCCCTGAGAAATATTCTTTAAAAAATACAACCTTTTGGCCGTGATAATCCCTACAAAAGTAAACATTCCCATTTATTCATAACGACATAATTCCTTAAATTTATTTTTAAACTTTAATTTTCTAAAAAAAAATCCCCATCCCCCTTTCCAGCTACGCCAATGAATATATACTTAATCAACATCAGAAAGCGGTACATCTTAATATCTATGCAAAAGTCTGTGAGATATGTGGTGAAACTCTACCCGATTCGCATAATTTTAAACGGCATATGGAAAAACATGAAGGGATTGTTCCGGTCAAAACAGCCAAGTGTGATATATGTGGTCTAATACTAACCAGTCATCATACCCTGAAATTACACAAAGAACTGAAACATCCGCCGGAGCGGCGTGAATATAATTGTCATATCTGTTCGAAGGTTTCACCAAATATGCGTGCACTCAAGAAACATATACACGAAACCCATGAAATGGGTTATCGTTTTAAGTGTACCATCTGTGAAAAGCAATTCAAGCGAGCGGATAATTTTAAGGTATTTAATAATGAAAAATATTCTTCTTAAAACAATCATTAATTGTATTTTTGGTTTCTCATTTCAGTCCCACATGGCCATACACACGGGCAAGCCTTTACATCGTTGTCCCTGGTGTCCCAAGGAATTCAATTCGAATGGCAATATGCATCAGCATCGAAAGAAAGCCCATCCCGTTGAATGGGAGGAGGCGCAACGTAAAAAGTATTCAGGAAATTTACCGCCTAATTATAAGAGACCAACACCTCCGGTTGCAGCCAGTAATAGTAGTAGTAATACAACCATGCCACCACCAGCCACAACAAATCAACCAACATAATTGCGAAAACTAGATGATATTTTTTAATATTTAAAAATTGTCCAGAAGATAAATGTGAAAATAATAAAAACAAAACTTAATTGGATATTTTTTAAATTCATTTTTTAGGGACCAAACAAGGGGTGGATTTATTAAAGATTAATTTTTCGGGGACCAAACAAGGCGTGGATTTATTAAAGATTATATTTTCAATTTCAATTTATTTCATAAACGAGAATCTAGCCCAAAGGGCCAAAAGCGTGGACCAAACAAGGCGTGGATTTATTAAAGATTATTTTTTTAGGGACTAAACAAGGCGTGGATTTATTAAAGATTATTTTTTAGGGACCAAACAAGGCGTGGATTTATTAAAGATTATTTTTTTAGGGACCAAACAAGGCGTGGATTTAAAAAAAGATTGATTTTTACCGACCAAACAAGGCGTGGATTTAAAAAGATTCATTTTTTAAGGCCAAACAAGGCGTGGATTTATTAAAGATTAATTTTTTAAGGCCAAACAAGGCGTGGATTTATTAAAGATCCATTTTTTAGGGACCAAACAAGGCGTGGATTTATTAAATATCCATTTTTAGGGACCAAACAAGGCGTGAATTTATTAAAGATCCATTTTTTAGGGACCAAACAAGGCGTGGATTTATTAAATATCCATTTTTAGGGACCAAACAAGGCGTGGATTTATTAAATATCCATTTTTAGGGACCAAACAAGGCGTGAATTTATTAAAGATCCATTTTTTAGGGACCAAACAAGGCGTGGATTTATTAAATATCCATTTTTAGGGACCAAACAAGGCGTGAATTTATTAAAGATCCATTTTTTAGGGACCAAACAAGGCGTGGATTTATTAAATATCCATTTTTAGGGACCAAACAAGGCGTGAATTTATTAAAGGTTAATTTTTTAGGGACCAAACAAGGCGTGGATTTATTAAAGGTTAATTTTTTAGGGACCAAACAAGGCGTGGATTTATTAAATAGTCATTTTTTAGGGACCAAACAAGGCGTGGATTTATTAAATATTCATTTTTAGGGACCAAACAAGGCGTGGATTTATTAAATATTCATTTTTAGGGACCAAACAAGGCGTGGATTTATTAAATATTCATTTTTTAGGGACCAAACAAGGCGTGGATTTATTAAATATTCATTTTTTAGGGACCAAACAAGGCGTGGATTTTTGTTAAAGTTTAATTTTTTATACTTATAATATATAATTTTTTTAATTATAATATAATATTAAATATTGTATTTATAATATTAATATTATTGTTCCCTCTATTAAATATTATTTATTTTTTATTTATTTAATACAAAATATACTTTATTTATTTAATTTTGTTAATTTTCCCCTAATTTAATTAGATTTATTTTCATTTTAAAGAATTTCTTATTAGAATGACACATCGTTTAAAGCACCTTTATGCCGTGAACAACAACAACACAAAGCATGCTCAAGTAACCGAGTGTATTGTGTACTTGGCTCACCCAACATCGATTACCCACATAAAACACCATCAATGCGAGCGAGAGAGAGCACACATCTGTCAGTCGCGATTTTGACATCAAACGTAGCAAACGGTTAAACGGTGGAATATATGTGATTTTTTTCGTTATTGTGTGTTTTCTGTTTGTAATCGTTCGAAGGCAAACAAGCAAAGCAGGCGGCAGTGTCAACAAATAAGACACAATATTAAATTAAACAAAAAATAATCAAAATTTTTATTTAAAGTCTATAAGCAAGCAAGTTTGTGTGTGCTATAATTAATTAATTGTGAATAAAATGTGCGAATTTAATCGTTGAATGTTCTTCTCCATCATCCTCGTCGTGTTTTCGTGTAGTGTGCGTGCATGCATGTAGTTGTGTTTATTTTGTTTTTGGTGTAACCAAAAAAAGTTGGGCAACAATAACAAAACGAGAAAAACCAAACCAATAAGCAACAGCAGCAGCAGTAACAACAACAAAAGTAAGCAAAAAAGCATGTTATAAATTAGTTCAACAAACCAAAAACAACAACAACAAAAATAAATCAATACTACATTTGACATAACATTGTCAATGAAAAAATAATTATTCTCTCAAGTCAAGGAAAAAAGCCGGTCATGAGCAGCGAAAATAAAAAACGGAGAAAAGAAAATTAAAAATTACAAAACATAAACAAAACGTAGAGAAAACATAAACAAAAAATACGAAGAACAAGCAGCAAAGTCCCCCCACCAAAAAAATAAATAAAGTTCAACTGTTAGTTCTTGTTTGTTGTGTGCAGAGAGAGAGGGAGAGATTGTGTAATGCAAGTGTGAACGAGTGAGAGGGAGAACGGTAGAATGAGTAGTGTAGTGTTCATTTGAATGTGTTTACAAGTGCCAAATTTTTTGTTGTTATTTTTTTGTGTGATGTGTGTTTGTATTTGCGTGTGCGTTGGTTACCCCACGATGTAATCAATCAAAAAAATTCTTGTTGTTTAAAGGAAAAGAACAAAAATTGTGGCAAACAAATGGGCAAAATCTAATTATTTATGAATTTTTATTGTGCATCTCTCTACGGAGTATTTTCCTTCTAGTGTGTGCAAATATGTGTATTTTCTTGTAAAAATGTGCAGTTTAATTATGCAAATATTTTTATTCATAATTCTTTTTTTAATTTACTTGTAATTAAATTCCAATAAATAAAAACAACAACAAGTAGTACTGTGTGTCACAGTGGTCTTTTGACATTTTTAATCATTTTAAAGAACGAAATTAGTTTGATTGTTTTATGTGGGGAATAGTAGCAGACTTGTTGTTGTTGTTTTTTTCATGATCAATTAATTGGTCTAATTGGAATAATTGATGACATGTGGCTATGCAGAGGAGGGGATCACATAACGCATGATGTTGTCATTTTGGATGATTGTGATGTTTTTTTTTAACGTTGGAGGCCCTCAAAATAAATTTCAATGAAATCAACAATGTCCAGCTTAACTCTAGTATAGTAAAAACGATACAAATCAAACAATTTTTGAATTAAAAAAATTCAATAGCGAATCTCAACTCTACACCTGTCCATAGCAGAAACATTAGAATTTTAAGCCAAAAAAATATGGCTTAACTCTAGTTTAGTAAAAACGATCAGATTTTTCTGAAATTTTTTCCAGAGGTAGGTATTTTTACTCTAATTATGGGAATATCCTTTTTACTTGGGGGACGTACCCGGTTACCCGGTTATTTGACCCGTGGGTATCATTTTAAAGGTTATAAAAATACCTTTCCATTGAGTGGTAACATGATGGGGTTATGGGCCTTAGAACCCTATAAAACAAGAAAATTCTGTCGCGTAGCCGGTGTTGGTATCTGTCCATAGAAGAAAGTCATAAATCCCCGGCCGAAGGCCGGCTACACAAAAAAATATTCTATATAGAAGGAGAAGGATTCTATATAGAAGGAGTTTCTGTTGCGTAGCCGGTGTTGGCATCTGTCCATAGGAGAAAGTTTTAAATCCCCGGCCGAAGGCCGGTCACCCAAAAAAAAATATTCTATTTAACAAGAGATTCTGTCGCGTAGCCGATGTTGGTATCTGTCCATAGGAGAAAGTCTTAAATCCCCGGCCGAAGGCCGACTACCCACCAAAACTATTCTAATTAAAAGGAGATTCTGTCTATTTAGAAGGAGTTTCTGTTGCGTAGCCGGTGTTGGCATCTGTCCATAGTAGAAAGTCTTAAATACCCGGCCGAAGGCCGGTCACCCAAAAAAAAAAAAAAAAAAAATATTCTATTTAACAAGAGATTCTGTCGCGTAGCCGGTGTTGGTATCTGTCCATAGGAGAAAGTCTTAAATCCCCGGCCGAAGGCCGGCTACCCACCAAAACTATTCTAATTAAAAGAAGATTCTGTCGCGTAGCCGGTGTTGCCATCTGTCCATAGGAGAAAGTCTTAAATCTCCGGCCGAAGGCCTGTCACCCAAAAAAAAAAAAATATTCTATTTAACAAGAGATTCTGTCGCGTAGCCGGTGTTGGTATCTGTCCATAGGAGAAAGTTTTAAAACCCCGGCCGAAGGCCGGCTACACAAAAAAATATTCTATTTAGAAGGAGTTTCTGTTGCGTAGCCGGTGTTGGCATCTGTCCATAGGAGATAGTCTTAAATCCCCGGCCGAAGTCCGGTCACCCAAAAAACACCATGCTATTTAAAAGGAGTTTCTGTCATGTAGAAAGATTTTCCTTGTTTTTATAGGGTTCTAAGACCCATATCTTTTGATCCACAATAGATACAGCCACATTTCGCACCATTTTGGAAAGGGCAAATCGTGGTCTATCATTTGAGTCTGGGATGGAGAGGGACTATAATGGACCCAAGTTCGACTTTTAGGGAGTTTTTCAAAAAAATCGGAGACCAAAACCCAGTTTTTTGACTATATCTCCAAAATGGTTTGAGATAACCCGGATCCGTAGAACCGGATATAACCGGGTATCCGTACCCGAACTTCCGGGTCAAATAATCGGGTAACCGGGTACGTCCCCCAAGAAAAAAAGATATCCCCATAATTAGGGTAAAAATACCTACCTCTGGAAAAAATTTCAGAAAAATCTGATCGTTTTTACTAAACTAGAGTTGTTCCAAAAATATTGAAAAGCAATTAATTTGCGTAACCAAAATTGTCCTGCCGAAATGCCTACTTTATTGAAAGATATACAAGCATTAAACGGATTATGAATTCTTTGGAATTCAAAATAAAATAAATAAATAAAATAAAATGTTTCTATAATTATTCGTTTTCAAAAAAGACGGCCCGTTTTCAATATGCCAGATTTTGATGATGAACATACGGAGTATCGATTTTGATGATGTACCGAGTATTTTATGGACTCCTCTCAGAACATTTTTAAATATTTACCATAGGTAGGCCTTCTAAAAAAGAACGTGAGCATGAGCAAATCGAGATACCATCAGCTTGGTCTTCTCGCCGTTTACTACCAGCCCCACTTTGGCAGACTCCTTCTCAATTTGTTCAAAGGTGGCTGTTACCGCTC